GCAGGAATACAAAGCAATACTGAGGAAAAAGAACAAACCTGGAGGCATAACCCTCCCAGACTTCAGACAATACTATAAAGCTACATCATGGTATTGGCACAAAAACAGACATATAGATCAATGGAACAGATTAGAGAGCCAAGAAATAAATCTACACACCTAAGGTCAACTAATCTTTGCAAAGGAGGCAAGAACATACAATGAAGAAAACACAGTCTCTTCAGCAAGTGGTACTGAGAAAGCTGGACAGCTGCATGTAAATCAATAAAGTTAGAACATTCCCTTACACCATACACAAAAATAAACTCAAAATGGCTTAAAAACTTAAATATAAGCAAGACATGATAAAACTCCTAGAACAAAACACAGGCAAAGAATTCTCTGACACAAATTGTACCAATGTTCCCCAGGACAGATCGTATCTTGGGTCACAAATCAAGCCTTGGTACATTTAAGGAAACTGAAATGGTATCAAGTAACTTTTCTGACTACAATTCTATGAGACTAGATATCAATTAAAGGAAAAAAACTGTAAAAAATACACACACATGGAGGTTAAACAATATGCTACTAAATAACCAAGACATCACAGAAGAAATCAAAAAGGAAATCAAAAGATACCTAGAAACAAATAACAATGAAAACACGATGACCCTAAACCTATGGGATGCAGTTCTAAGAGGGAAGGTTATAGCAATACAATCCTATCTCAAGAAACAAGAAACATCTCAAATAAACAACCTAACCTTACACCTAAAGCAATTAGAGAGAGAAGAACAACAATAAAAAAAAAACCCGTAGTCAGCAGAAAGAAAGAAATCATAAAGATCAGAACAGAAATAAATGAAAAAGAAATGAAGGAAAGAATAGCAAAGATCAGTAAAACTAAAAGTTGGTACTTTGAGAAGATAAACAAAATAGATAAACCATTAGCCAGACACATCAAGAAACAAAGGGAGAAGACTCAAATCAACAGAACTAGAAATAAAAAAAGGAGAAGTAACAACTGACACTGCAGAAATACAAAGCATCCTGAGAAATTACTACAAGCAACTATATGCCAATAAAATGCACAACCTGGAAGAAGTGGACAAATTCTTAGAAAAGCACAACCTTCCGAGACTGAACCAGGAAGAAATAGAAAATATAAACTGACCAATCACAAGCACTGAAATTAAAACTGTGATTAAAAATCTTCCAACAAAGAAAAGACCAGGACCAGATGGCTTCCCAGGCGAATTCTATCAAACACTTACAGAAGAGCTAACATCTAGCCTTCTCAAACTCTTCCAAACGACAGCAGAGGGAGGAACACTCCCAAACTCATTCAACGAGGCCACCATCACCCTGATACCCAAACCAGACAAAGACGTCACAAAAAAAGAAAACTACAGGCCAATATCACTGATGAACACAGATGCAAAAATCCTCAACAAAATACCAGCAAACAGAATCCAACAGCACATTAAAAGGATCATACACCATGATCAAGTGGGGTTTATCCCAGGAAGGCAAGGATTCTTCAATATAGGCAAATCAATCAATGTGATATACCATATTAACAAATTGAAGGAAAAAAACATACAGTAATCTCACAGATGCAGAAAAAGCATTTGACAAAATTCAACACCCATTTATGATAAAAATTCTCCAGAAAGTAGGCATAGAGGAAACTTACTTCAACAAAATAAAGTCCATATATGACAAACCCACAGCCAACACCGTTCTCCATGGTGAAAAACAGAAACCGTTTCCACTAGGATCAGGAACAAGACAAATTTGCCCACTCTCACCACTATTATTCAACATAGTTTTGGAAGTTTTAGCCACAGCAATCAGAGAAGAAAAAGAAATAAAAGGAAACCAAATCGGAAAAGAAGAAGTAAAACTGTCACTGTTTGCAGATGACATGATACTATACATAGAGAATCCTAAAGATGTTACCAGAAAACTACTAGAGCTAATCAATAAATTTGGTAAAGTAGCAGGATACAAAATTAATGCACAGAAATCTGTAGCATCCTATACACTTATGATGAAAAATCTGAAAGTGAAATTAAGAAAACACTCCCATTTACCACTGCAACAAAAAGAATAAAATATCTAGGAATAAACCGAACTAAGGAGACAAAAGACCTGTATGAAGAAAACTATACGACACTGATGAAAGAAATTGAAGATGATACAAAAGATGGAGAGATACACCATGTTCTTGGATTGGAAGAATCAACATTGTGAAAATGACTCTACTACCCAAAGCAGTGTACAGATTCAATGCAATCCCTATCAAACTACCAATGGCATTTTTCACAGAACCAGAACAAAAAATTTCACAATTTGTATGGAACCACAAAAGATCCCGAATAGCCAAAGCAATCTTGAGAAAGAAAAACGGAGCTGGAGGACTCATGCTTCCTGACTTCAGACTATACTACAAAGCTACAGTAATCAAGATAGTAATGGTACTGGCACAAAAACAGAAATATAGATCAATGGAACAAGATAGAAAGCACAGAGATAAACCCACACACATATGGTCACCTTATCTTTGATAAAGGAGGCAAGAGAATACAATGGAGAAAAGACAGCCTCTTCAATAAGTGGTGCTGGGCAAATTGGACAGCTACATGTAAAAGAATGAAATTAGAATGCTTCCTAACACCACACACAAAAATGAACTCAAAATGGATTAAAGACCTAAATGTAAGTCCAGACACTATCAAACTCTTAGAGGAAAACATAGGCAGAACACTCTATGACATAAATCACAGCAAGATCCTTTTTGACGCACCTCCTAGAGAAATGGAAATAAAAACAAAAATAAACAAATGTGACCTAATGAAACTTAAAAGCTTTTGCACAGCAAACGAAAACATAAACAAGATGAAAAGACAACCCTCAGAACGGGAGAAAGTATTTGCAAATGAAGCAACTGACAAAGGATTAATCTCCAAAATATACAAGCAGCTCATACCACTCAATTTCAAAAAAACAAACAACCCAATCCAAAAATGGGCAGAAGACCTAAATAGACATTTCTCCAAAGAAGACATACAGGTTGCCAACAAACACATGAAAGGATGCTCAACATCACTAATCATTAGAGAAATGCAAGTCAAAACCACAATGAGGTTTCACCTCACACCAGTCAGAATGGCCATCCTCAAAAAAATCTACAAACAATAAATGCTGGAGAGGGTGTGGAGAAAAGGGAATCCTCTTGCACTGTTGGTGGGAATGTAAATGGATACAGCCACTATGGAGAACAGTATAGAGGTTCCTTAAAAAAACAAAAATAGAACTACCATACGACCCAGCAATCCTACTACTGGGCATATACCCTGAGAAAACCATAATTCAAAGAGTAATGTACCACAATTTCACTGCAGCTCTTTTCACAATAGCCAGGACATGGAAGCAACCTAAGTGTCCATCGACAGATGAATGGATGAAGAATATGTGGCACATATATACAAGGGAATATTACTCAGCCATAAAAGGAAATGAAATTGAGTTATCTGTAGTGAGGTGGATGGACTTTCAGTCTGTCATAAAGAGTTAAGTAAGTCAGAAAGAGAAAAACAAATACTGTATGCTAACGCATATATATGGAATCTGGGGGAAAAAAAAATGGTACTGATGAACCTAGTTCCAGGGCAGGAATAAAGAGGTATACATAGAGAATGGACTTGATGACATGGAATGGGGGGACGAAGCTGGGGCGAAGTGAGAGTAGCATCGACATATATACACTACCAAATGTGAAATAGCTGGCTGTTGAGAAGCAGCAGCATAGCACAGGGAGATCAGTTCAGTGCTCTGCAATGACCTAGAGGAGTGGGATAGGGAGGATGGGAGGGAAGATCAAGGGGTAAGGGATATGGGGACATGTGTATGCATATGGCTGATTCGCTTTGTTGTGCAACAGAAACTAACATGGTATTGTGAAACAATTATACTCCAATAAAGATCTATTAAAAATAAATAAATAAAATATGTGTTTCATCTAAGTAATACCATCTGTGTATTTTCATTTATAAGATTTTTCATTGTAAGTTTCTCTGTAATATTACAAATAACTTATTACTCTTAATACTAAAAATGAATCATACAATATAACAACTCAGGAAAAAGCTACTCAAATATTCTCTGTAATACTCTTGAATCCTAAGCCAACAAATATAATGCAAAAGAATCTGAATAGGGACTTCCCTGGTGGGCAGTGGTTAAGAATCCGCCTGCCAATGCAGGGGACACAGGTTTGAGCTCTGGCCCGGGGAAGATCCTACATGCCACAGAGCAACAAAGCCCGTGCACTACAACTACTGAGCCTGCACTCTATAGAGCCCATGAGCCACAACTACTGAGCCCGCCTGCCACAACTACTGAAGCCCATGTGCCTAGAGCCCATGCTCCGCGACAAGAGAAGCCACCGCATTGAGAAGTCCGCACACTGCAATGAAGAATAGCCCCCGCTCGCCGCAACTAGAGAAAACCTGCACGCAACAACAAAGACCCAACACAGCCAAATTAATTAATTAATTTTTTGAAAAAAGAATCTGAATAAACATTAAATCAATTTTTTCAGTTGTTACTTCCAAAAAACCACCATTTAAAAAACAAATTTATATAAGCTATTAGATTCAGATGGAAATCAGCCTTTACTATAAAAAGTAACAAAGTTTAAAGTCATTTGAGTCCACTTAACAGCATCAATCTGATCCATTGTGCTCCCTAATAAACTCTACTTGAATTTCTTCCAACTCTCATTTCTTTAGCTTCCATATTTATTTAAGCAAACCTTATACTGCCAGCTAAATTCAAGGTAAAGTTGAGAACAAGACTATATAAACATCAGGATTACTAATATTCTATCTCTTACTTTACTGGCAAGATTGCTACAATATAAAGGTTAAAGAAAATACTGAAATATATGAATGTATTAGATGAATTATCAACAATACTCACGCATCATTTGAGCAAGTCATAAATTCTCCCTTTATTTTGGGATGCCATGAGCCAGTATGAAGCATTGCTGTATGACCCTTAAACAAAAAAAGGAAAAATTCTTTTAAAAATGTAAAAATAAACAAACTGACCAAAAGCTGACATAGTATGCTTAAAAGTAAAACTTTTTAGTCCTCCCCAAGGCACACTATTTTAATTACAAACTGATATTATTTTATTTCAGTTTTAGTTCATAATATGCTTTGTTTATTTCACTTTGTTTATTTTAATTTTAATTCACCGTGTAACCCCTCCTGCCCAGGAATTAGTACAGTGCTTACATATAACAGGTGCTTAAAAAGAAAGAGAGGGGGAAATGACAGCCTCTCTTTAGGAACGAAGTAAAAAGAAAAACCACAATAAGACAATGGCGAAAAAAAATCAGTGGAAAAGAATTAAGGAGAATAGAAAGTACTTAGGGTAACCAAGGCAAAAGCAAGAGGATGGGGGAAAAATAAAATCCGTTCTTTAAAATGTGTCAAGAATCTTAATTCTACAATACATCTGTAAGAATAAATATGTGAGAAAATAACATCTTTAAAATGATTCAGGAAGATTAGCCCTACTCAGGATGGAGCATAATAAAAAAACACTGCAATTATTTTATTTACTTATTTTTAGCTTTACTGGAGTATAATTGCTTTACAATGTTGTGTTAGTTTCTGCTGTACAACAAAGTGAATCAGCTATATGTATACATATATCCCCATATCCCCTCCCTCTTGAGCCTCCCTCCCACCCTCCCTATCCCACCCCTCTAGGTGGTCACAAAGCACTGAGCTGATCTCCCTGTGCTGTGCAGCTGCTTCCCACTAGCTATCTATTTTACATTTGCTAGTGTATATACGTCCATGCCACTCTCTCACTTCATCCCAGCTTCCCCTTCCCCCACCGTGTCCTCAAGTCTGTTCTCTACATCTGCATCTTTATTCCTGCCCTGCCAGAAGGTTCATCAGTACCAGTTTTTTAGATTCCATATATGTGCATTAGCATACAGTATTTGTTTTTCTCTTTCTGACTTACTTCATTCTGTATGCCAGTTTCTATGTCCATCCACCTCATTACAAATAACTCAATTTTGTTCCTTTTTATGGCTGAGTAATATTCCATTGTATACATGTGCCACCTCTTCTTTATTCATTCATCTGTCGATGGACATTTAGGTTGCTTCCATGTCCTGGCTATTGTAAATAGTGCTTCAATGAACATTGTGGCATGCATCTTTCTGAATTATAGTTTTCTCAGGGTATATGCCCAGTAGTGGGATTGCTGGGTCATACAGTAGTTCTATTTTTGGTTTTTAAGGAACCTCCATACTGTTCTCCATAGTGGTTGCACCAATTTACATTCTTACCAACAGTGCAAGAGGGTTCCCTTTTCTCCACACCCTCTCCAGCATTTACTGTTTCTAGATTTTTTGATGATGGCCATTCTGACCAGTGTGAGGTGATACCCCCTTGTGGTTTTGATTTGCATTTTTCTAATGATTAGTGATGCTGAGCATCCTTTCATGTGTTTGTTGGCAACCTGTATGTCTTCTTTGGAGAAATGTCTATTTAGGTCTTCTGCCCTTTTTTTTTTTTAATTTATTATTATTTTTTTAACATCTTTATTGGAGTGTAATTGCTTTACAATTGTGTGTTAGTTTCTGCTTTATAACAAAGTGAATCAGCTATACATATACATATATCCCCATATCTCTTCCCTCTTACGTCCCCCTCCCTCCCACCCTCCCTATCCCACCCCTTTAGGTGGTCACAAAGCACTGAGCAGATCTCCCTGTGCTATGCAGCTGCTTCCCACTAGCTATCTATTTTACATTTGGTAGTATATGTTAAGTCCATGCCACTCTCTCACTTCATCCCAGCTTACCCTTCGCCCTCCCCGTGTCCTCAAGTCCATTCTCTAGTAGGTCTGCGTCTTTATTCCCGTCCTGCCCCTAAGTTCTTCAGAACTACTTTTTTTTTTTTAGATTCCATATATATGTGTTAGCATACAGTATTTCTTTTTCTCTTTCTGACTTACTTCACTCTGTATATCAGACTCTACGTCCATCCACCTCACTACAAATAACTCAATTTCGTTTCTTTTTATGGCTGAGTAATATTCCATTGTATATATGTGTCACATCTTCTTTATCCATTCATCTGTCGATGGACACTTAGGTTGCTTCCATGTCCTGGCTATTGTAAATAGAGCTGCAATGAACATTGTGGTACATGACTCTTTTTGAGTTATGGTTTTCTCAGGGTATATACCCAGTAGTGGAATTGCTGTCTTCCGCCCATTTTAGGATTGGGTTGTTTGGGTGTTTTTGGAGCTGCATAAGCTACTTGTATATTTTGGAGATGAATCCTTTGCCAGTTGCTTCATTTGCAAATACTTTCTCCCATTCGAAGGGTTGTCTTTTCGTCTTGTCTATGGTTTCGAAACTTTGCTGTGCAAAAGCTTTTTTTTTTTGCAGTACGCGGGCCTCTCACCATTGTGGCATCTTCCGTTGCGGAGCACAGGCTCTGGATGCACAGGCTCAGCGGCCATGGCTCACGGACCAGCCGCTCCGCAGCACGCGGGATCTTCCCAGACTGGGGCACGAACCCGTGTCCCCTGCATCGGCAGGCGGACTCGCAACCACTGCGCCACCAGGGAAGCCCTGTGCAAAAGCTTTTAAGTTTCATTAGGTCACATTTGTTTATTTTTGTTTTTGTTTCCATTACTCTAGGAGGTGGGTCAAAAAGGATCTTGCTGTGATTTATGTCATAGAGTGTTTTGCCTGTTTTCCTGTAAGAGTTTGATAATGTCTGGCCTTACATTTAGGTTTTTAATCCATTTTGAGTTTACTTCTGTGTATGGTGTTTGGAAGCATTCTAATTTCATTCTTATACATGTAGCTGTCCCGTCTTCCCAGCACCACTTATTGAAGAGGCTGAATTTTCTCCTTTGTATTTTCTTGTCTCCTTTGTCAAAGATAAAGTGACCATATGTGTGTGGGTTTATCTCTGGGCTTTCCATCCTGTTTCATGGATCTATATTTCTGTTTTTGTGCCGGTAGCATACTGTCTTGATTACTGTAGCTTTGTAGTATAGTCTTAAGTCAGGGAGCCTGATTCCTCTGGCTCCGCAAAAACACTGCAGTTAAAACACTGTGATGTTGGTATAAAAACTGACATACATACCAAATCAATCACAGAGTATATATTTCAAACATAAACACACACATACACACACACACAATTCCCTCCTAGGTAGCAAAGTAAGATATAGTAGTCTCATACTGTAAGTCAGGTTCAGATGGGCCAGAAAAGAACCTAATATTTTTTAGTATAATAATGGCAAGGCCACTTATTCTGAAAGGGTCCAGAATAAAGCTAAACTAAAAGTAGTAAAATGTGCATATTTAAATGACTTAGAAGTAAAATAACTGTAGCTCTCTGGAAAGACAGAATTGGAACGGGAGTACCCACACATGGGCCTGGAGACCCATCTCTAGTCCCAGCTGCTCACAATGCCTCAAATAGTATCTGGCCAACTCCTGACATTCTGTTCATGTTAAAAAGGTACAAATAGGGACCAGAGATCTGGAATCTCTTCCTGCAGTAGGAAAGAATGGACTGAAGTACTGCCTGGAGGGACTAGATAGGAAGTTTGAGATTCCACTTTCCTCTCCAGACCTCAAGACTTGTATATTCAAGTATCAACTTGATTGACATTTCCATTTGCATGTCATAAGCATTTCAAACATAATAGGCCCAACAGGGAAATCTTGATTCTTACTGCCCATTTCCTTTGCAATAAACTTCTTTCCTAGTTGCTAAAGCTACAAACGTGGAAGTAATCCTTAAAGACTCCAATAACCCCTAAACTCTCTTCTCTCTACCCACCCAGATTCAATCCACTAGCTAGTCCTGTCAGTTCAACCCAAAACACATCTCAAATCTATCCACTTTTCTCCTTTTTCACTACTATAACTCTTATATGAACCAACATTATCTCGTGTCTTTACATCAGTTATTATGTACTGCGACAGGCCTGTGACTAGTCTCTCTACTTTTACTCTTGTGTAATGTGCTCCACAAAGCAATCAGTACAATAGAGACACAAATTTAGAGGACAAACATAGGGACACCAAGGGGGGAATGTGTGGCGGGGGGCAGGGATGAACTGGGAGATTGGGACTGACATATATACACTAATATGTATAAAATAGATAACTAATAAGAACCTGCTGTATAAAAAAAATAATAAAATACAAAAGTAAAAAAAATAAAGTTTAAGGTAACCCCCCCCCAAAAAAAAATCAATCAATATCGTCCTTTAAAAATATACTTCTAGGGCTTCCCTGGTGGTGCAGTGCGACACGGGTTTTTGCCCTGGTCCAGGAAGATCCCACATGCCGTGGAGCGGCTGGGCCTGTGAGCCATGGCTGCTGAGCCTGCGCATCCGGAGCCTGTGGTCCGCAACGGGAAAGGCCACAACAGTGAGAGGCCCACATACTGCAA